ACTGCACAATAAATATGTATTGTGGCATTGTGAGTATTTGCAATGCATGTAAAGTAATTTTTTTACCAAGTTTTTCTTAGTTGCACGTGAAAGAGTGTTGTTTTGACCTCATAAACCCAATACAAAAAGGTGTTTATCGGCTTGGAGAGGTTTGTAAACAATGTTTCAAGGGACTACGCCTCATTCGCGCCATCCGTCGGCAGCTGCATGCGCAGCATCTCCCACGCGTCTCCCCGCACGGGCGGCGGAAAATGAGCGCAATGTGAGAAAACACGAAACTTAACAACACGATGGCTTGCATGCGCGTGGAAGTCGACTTAGTGCGCCAGTGGATCAGTCTAACTCTCCCTAACTAATCAAAACTCTTGAGATCAAGCGACCGCTACTTCCCTCTCAACACCTGAATCTAACACGGACAAGGACAGTCTGAGCACTCCCTGGGGCTGCTGTGTGGACCTTCTGTGTCTCAATGACAGTCTGAACACTCTCTGGGGCTGTTCTGTGGACCTTCTGTGTCACAATGACAATGTTGGCCGTATCCAAGCTAAATTTGTCCTCTGCCCGAAGGACTTCTCCTTCAGTACGAAGAAACATACCGTCTGTACATTAGCCTTGCCCTGTCAGAGCCGGCATAGCTTCTCAGCAGAGCGAATACCATCGGACTGGAGGCGCCACAGGCTGGCACTGTCAGTATCCTTTCCAAGATCTCCCTCCCCCCCCCCCCCCCCCCCCACTTCGTCGCAAGCGCTCTTCTCTTCCCTTTCCTCGAGAGCTTCGTTCTCGGGTAGTCTATTTAAAGGTCATCGAAAATTTTACATTGGTGCTATGCCGTTAAGTGATGTCTGGTAACCGCAATTATGGCTTCTGACAATTTGGCCAAGAACTCATCCATTGGAAGAACAACCTTTGTTTAATTACAACGTTCAGTGCTCACACACTGGCTAAATCTGATTTTATCGGCCAAGTTTAAAATGTTCTTTGCATGCACAGTGATGGTGTTAATAAAAAATGATCGAACTCTATACTAGGCGTAGACAGTTCTCACACGCCCGTATCACGCATGATTTCCTATGAACATCCCGCGCGGCGCGACTCAGCAGGTTCTTCAAAGTGGCATCGCAGCAGCCCAAGAGATCCAATCATCAGATGCGCGCTATAACCTTAACAGCACACTCAAATCGCGTTACTGTCGTTGCTACCCATCAGCACGCAGTGTACACAGGGCAATAGTCTTAGGTTTGTATATTTTTCAGAGTACAGAGTGTTTCAGGCTTTGGAAACAATTATTTCGCGAGTATTTTGACAAATGAGTGCACTGCAAACATTGCAGAACACAGACGCCGAAAAAGCGAGGCAAATAAAAGATGCTTCGTTTTTAGTAGTCGGCACAGAGTTCATCGATATTTGTCTCGCAGGAGTAGCTGGTTAAAATAGAAATTCTGGGCTGTTGAGAGGGATTTTGAAAAATCTTGCATTATCGCTAAAATCGGGGATGTCTGGTCTCAATAAGTGAGTACAGAGAAGGTGGCGTACTCCCCTTAAACTTCGCTGTGCACTCGTTTTGTTCTTTGCAAACGGATCGCCGCAACGTCGTTGTTTGAGCGTTGCATTGATGCAAGGCGCTGCCAACACAACCGCGCGCTCCACCCGCACAACAGGGACTGGATCAACCCTCAATTAGTGGGCTTTTGTCTGACTGAGTCGTCCCATATAAGCCAGAGACGACACCACCCTCACGGGACGCCCTTGCCTTCTTCTGCTCCAACTACCCCGCCCCAACAATGCGCGTGAGGTGAGGAGGGGGGGGGGGGGGGGGTCGGGAGGAGGCGGTGCACCGCGTGGCCAGTCTTCGTGCGCCATGCATGATTCGTTGGTGCATGGACCATGTCCCCCCAAGCACATAACCACTTTTTTGTTTTCTGACTTTGAAGAATAAGCTACTCCAGTCAACATGTTAACAAGGAATATTAATATCACAAAGGAAAGTCGTTCGCACTTAACAAAAGCTAATCATGTCCTGGCTATTATTTATTATACAATGATGATTTCAAGAGTGGCGTATAGCTAATCAGGACAGTTTTCTTATCATTTTAACATACAGGTTTGTCAAAGTATCTTTCAAGCGAGTAGAAAAGATCAGTTCCCAAAGTGCTCCCAGACCTCCACATGTAACCGCCTTGGACCTAAATTCCTGTTCTCAGCAAGCGGTCACTGGTGTTGGTCCTGGGTCAGTGACCTTTTTGACCTTTACAAAGTCATGTTAACCAAAAACCTGCAAAAATGTTTTCAATTTGGAATTGGAATGAGAATCAAGGATGACGTTAGGCGGTGCGTTCCTAAAAAAGTTGCTGTGCTTCACTTTACGTCAGTGACCTATTCTGTCCCTCAGGAAGTTCATGGAAGATGTCGCTGTCGATCCCTGTTATCAAGACATTACAACTTTTCGAACAGCCCCACATGGCAAGATCTCGAACACAAAAGCGGGTTGGTTTCAACCTTGCTCTGAGCTTCATACCTGACCCAAGGTCAACGTGAATTATCTTGACGCTAAGACTTTGCAATGCTTGAGCAATGCAAGACATAATAAATAATAAACTGAATTAACATGACCTTGCATGAACTATGTACGTTATATTTGTTAGGTAAGTTGCATTCTATAACGCATTTTTCGGTCACAAGCTTTGCTCACAAAATCGACAATTTCAAATATGTACATGTTTACATCTTTTTTATAATCGGACGCGAAGAGTGTGACTGTATGTATTCAATAGGGCTGCTAAAGAGCTATTAGATTCCCGTACGTCACACTTGCCCGATTAGTCCATCCATTGTGTTTGGTCAGCCACACGACAGCGTCTCATCCAACGCTGGCTGGCCTTCCGCAACAGCGATTTGCAAAGATACGGCGACAAATTTAAGATACATTTAGTCGTGCGTGGTGCGTATAGCCGTGTGCACACAATGTCATTGTGGAAGTGTTGTGGAAGCAATATCGGCATGCTATGGAATTGGCTAATCGGCCGACATCACCATTTTTCCATTAGTTACTGTGGTCTGACCAAGGCCATATAGATACTGAGGTAGGACGCCCTAGTCTCCGTAGATGTAAAACTTCACTAGGGTCTGAGCCTGACTGCTCCTAGCATGACGGCTAGCATAAGGCGGCCATAGCTAAGTTTTTAAGCGCACGTGATATGTAATGCGAAATATATGAAAGTGCGCTTATAAGCGCACTTTGTGCATTCATTAGCTGTTCTACAGGGCTACCAGCCGCCAGCACCATACGCTTGTACGATTAGGGCATCCATTTCGTTTGTTCGGCCCCACGAGAGCGTCCCGCTCAACGCTTGGTCGTGTCTAAACCGCGATTTGAAAAATAACGGCGTCCAAAATATAAGTATTTTATTCGTGCGCGGTGGGTACGACCACGTGCCCTTGATGCCAGTGTGGGAAAATTATCGGCCGGAAATGTATCGGCCGGCTCATCGCCCAGCATGACTTTATTGTTCAGATCACATCTTGACGGCATATTGCTAACTGAATCTGGTCCGTCCGTAGCGTGATGGCCAGCATGGAGCGACCCTGGAAAAGTCGTAAATCTCGCGTTATGAATTCGACGGCGAGTATTCGATAGGTCTACTTTAGGGTTGTCAGCTGCCAGCAAAATGCACTTATCCAATAGGGGCTTATACTTTTAACTTATCGTTTTTATTTGTTCGATCCCACGACAGCGGCTCGCTCAACGCTGATGGGGGACGGTGGTTTTCAAACATACGGCGGCCAATTTGAAATGTCTTTAGTCGTGCGCACGCCGCGGGTGACGTCATGCGCACACGATGCCCTCGTCAGAGCACTATCGGCGGGCAATGTAAATCACTTATCGATCGCCATTATATTTTGCTTTCAAATCAAACAGCGTATCATATCTTGTTCTCCTGATTATCGGCAGTCCATAACCATTGACGGAAGCCTCATGCTCTCAGCTTGACATTGCGGGACACATATTAAGCCTCTTACTCTCTGTGGAGATGCTGGGAGGGGGGGGGGGGCACTTTTGAAAGTACCCTTTCTTGGGAGATGCACACATCCTATATTGTCAAAGTGCAACTCCATCGTTTTCTGTTTGCATAGAATTTGCCACCATCTTACGCCCAATGATCGTAAACCCCTAATGCAGTCCCACATTATCCCCATCTTCTGTACTACCTCTCGGTCTTGTTTATGGCCGCAGCGTGTCACCTAAACGGAGCACAAGGAGTGATAATTCTTTGGGATCAGGTTCGACAGTGAAGCTCGTCGGGGAGAAACGATGGCGGCAACTTTTCAAGCGCTGGACAGGCGCTGTGTTAGTGACCTTATCACCCAACGTGACAGCCTCGCTGCTTTCAGGGCTCCTAATGGTTCGCGGGCTCCGGTGGCGATCCGGTCCCATTCAACCCACGTACCGCTGTATGCCAGCGACCCACCCGGGGCGGCAGCGGCGAGCGCCCTCTATCTGCCAGCTTTCCGCCTGTCGGTGGCACGCGGGGCCTGTTCATCTTGCGCGACCTCAGCCCAGAGCCACCTGCCGCCGACCATCATCGCCTCTCGCATCCGCATGGAGCTTACGTACCTAAGAGCTTACTCTGCGTACAGAAATGGAGAGTTGTGCACTACCCAATTGCTGCCTGAAAATGAAACATTTTGCAGGCAGCATTTTACCAACAAACTAAATCATGATCTCGGTCACCAGATAGGGGAGTGCACTGTTGTAGTTTATTTAGTCTGCAGACGAAACTGCACAATGCCATTGGTGATGAAGACAAAACGTCTCAGTAAACTGTACTCGCCTTGAAAGCAAATTGCGCGTCGCGCAAAGCGAAAGTTTAGCCTAACTAAATATAATACCGGTGCTTCAAATGGTGACGGTATAGAGCTATCAATGTTGCTGTGTTTGTCCAGGATAAGGGCTGGCTCATTCTTCCGCAAGGTTCATGCCATCTCCGCCCATCTAGACGATGTATGTCAGGACGAAGCCCAAAATCTGAAAAGTGAAAATGACATCATGTGACCATGTTGTCATGGAAGCAACGGTGTTTGGCGGCAACGCCGTCAACATCGGCTGCGATATCTAGAGAAAAGAGCTGCGTGTTGAAGAGCTAGAGTAGGGAAACTGCGTATAGAGGAGCTAGAGGAGAGGAGATACGAAAAGAGAAGCTGGAGGAGAGAAGCTAAGCATGCCTCTGTTTCTTCAAACGTTCGGGCGAGCTTCGGTAACATCACACCCATATCAAGGGCTCAGTTGGATGATGTCGGTTGACATGTTTTGGTTACCAAGCAACATGGAAATTTGCTGTTTATTTAAAAATTATGGCTGATAATGACGGTGGTCAACAGGGCAATAGCATGTCGTACCATTACAGATCATAAATGCACCCGGATGCTATAGCCTAAGCATAAATATGAATGGTTCAGTTCGATCAGTTTGCATTTGGAAGCATTCACCGCTAAAAAATTTCATTGGTGCCTGAAGCATGTTTACTTCTATTCGAAAAATCAGATGACCGTAATCGCTATATTAAACATAAAGTTTTGTCAGCTCAGTCCTGCACAGCTTGGCGACAGATGTGTGCAAGTGCAAAAGAGAATGTGTGAACGTGCAAAATAAGTATATCGGCATTTACCATTCGGTTTTTAATCGTGAGCGCCATGTGATAACACTTCCTTGGATGACACTGTACATTTCGAAAACATGCCACATAAAGGAACTTGCTTAGCAAATGCCGTGTTTTTAGTTAAATGCTTAGGCATTGGAGCATGCTTTCTTGCTCCACATGCATCTTTTTCCCAGGAGATTTTCTTCATGTCTAATAATTTTGCAAAGTTTCATCTTAACCACGGGCCGTATAAAAAGTGAGAGCACGTAGGACGGGAGGAGGTGCTTCCACTTTGACAGTGTTTTGGTCCACAGGGTTACGAGCGGAGATAAAGTAATGGTCGCACTATTTGTACGCTCGGAATTGGCTGGAATTAACAGCTCATCACCGAAATGCCCGCGTCTAAGAAAAGTAAAGCTAAAACGACATCATGATGGAAGCGAGTCCTCTAACACGCAGAAACAACACACACTGAGATTCACACGACTCCCATCTCACCGAAAGGATGTTTGAATTCTGGACGATGAAAAAACCCATCACTTCGACACCGAATGGACGTTTAGCCTTTTGTAAGAGCACCTTCCGTCTCTTTTTAGCTTCCTGCGTCATTACTAGCCAATTCATATCCATCAGTGAGTCCGTTAGTGCAGCGTTCTGGAACAGAGGGAATACAAACCACCTCACAATGTGCAAATCTGACGATTATTTCAGGGGTTCTATGCAGGAGTATTACATGTACGGAAAATAAAAGCAAGAGAAGAAAGAAATTGAGGAATAAAAATAGAAGAGGAAGATGAATGAAAGAAGGAGATAAAAGAGAAAGGAGAGACGGAAAATGCAAGAAAGAGAGAGAGAGAAAGAGAGAGAGAGAGAGAGAGAGAGAGGGAGAGAAAGAGAGAAAGAAAGGGAGAGAGAGAAGGGGGAGACACAATAGCGTTTGAATGGCACGCAACATTTACTTGGGAATCATAGATGATGGCCCAAGATGGTTCTTCGTTCTTCAAACCAATCATGTTGAAACATTCTGAATACGCATTCACCTCAATTCATGGTTGAGCTCACCTTTTCGATCATGAAGGTGCCGTCCATAGACATCCAAACGATGCGGAAAAGGAAGAGGCTTACATAGGTGCAGGGACCCACCACCTTCGCCAACTTGCCCTCTGATGGTGGGCCGTTCGCTGCCTGCCGAAATACCGTGACGAGCCGGCCGTCATCAACAGACCCGGGGCATGACGAGCTGACAGAGACGCTTCAACGGCGCACAGTTGCAACTCTCCAGAGTCCTGAGCAGGTAGTTTACCTAAGTTGAAAAGTCACGAAGGAATTGAACCACCCTTTGTTTATTTACGTTCCGGTATGAAACGTGCTAATGGTGATTGGTACCAACATTGACCTTGCTAATGAAGGCAGCCATTCACCGCGCTGTTACGCATGCTTTGGAGGCGCTAGCTGATGACCATTGGACGGGCATGTAAAGTGCAGTAACTTATACGTAGCCTGGCGTGCTGATATCATCGAAGTGGGGCTTACAGCGATCACGTAATAGGAGGAGAGGAGAATAGCTGACATGGCAGCGGCGTGTGCTAAGAGTAACGGCACCCTGCTGATGCTGCTCATGATGACGACAAGCCTGAAAAATGGAGTGCTGCATGAATTGGAAATCGACAGATCGGATCACAGGTCGAATAGCGTGTTAAATGCAGTATCAAAAATCACAAACACGCCTGAAAATGCTAAAACCAGTCCTTGTCGCCAGATGGCACAAGACCCGCTGAGGTTCTCGATGCTCCACAGAGCCTCTCACCTGCAGACGCGCGCGTAGTGCTGGGCGGCGGCGATTAGCGGCTCCACCACGGCGCCGTCTGGAGTCGATCCGTCTGGCTGGCGAGACAGCAGCGGCCAGCGCGGTGTCCCCGGCACATCCCTCTCAGGCGTCACCTCCCACGCGTCGTGGACCCAGTCCCGCCCTGGCTGCCGGCTCTTGGTCGTCTCCGGCGTCGGTCCGTCCGTGTGGTCTCCCGACAACGGCCTGTCGCCCGCCGTCATCAGGCTGCTTGATGCCCGGACTGCTGCCGTCTTCACAGGCGCCTCCGCCACGCGCACAGCCTGGGCGCTGATGTCCACCAGCGTCCTGACGGTGGTCAGATGAAAGCTGACCGCGTTCATCCAGGTGAAGCAGCAAGTCTCGAACGTCATCACCAGACAACAGGAGAAAATCACCAGCACCATCTGCAACACGACGACAGCGGGCACAGTTAAAGGCACCTTGTCGAGATATGGCCGACATGGCTTAAGTCTTGTATGAGGCGCTCCTACCCAGATCTACCACCAAAGTAAAAATTAATTTTGATTGTACACATACGCTACGCGCACCAACCATGGCTATCTAGGCCACAAATACGACAGAAGGCGATGAGTCGCTGGCCGATGATCTCCGTTTCCACTGGTATCTAATATGCACCTTACCAATTTATCATGGAGATAGAATCGCTTTTGAACTAGGGTGGCGGTGAAAACGTCCGTCGCAAAAAGACCGTGCAGGAGTGAAGAAATCAATTCACAAAAGATGGAACTTATGATCTCGTGACTGATGATTCAGCAAAGACATCTTTTTCAAGTTGCCATGGACGTAATATCAGAACCCTCACAACACTGTTTTGTTTCTAACATCTTAGGCCATTTAAGTGAAACAGAATACATTAAAGCATCGTAAGTTCATGACAGTGTAATAAGCATACAAAATTATTAACACCAATAATTTGATGCTTCACTTTGCACTTCCCTCCACAGCACTTTTAACACAAAACAGAACAAAGGAACTCAATAAAAAAATAACACAAGAAAATTCAGCAAGCATAAAACACTCAAAAAAAACAACATTAACGAACCTTGGACTCCTACCTAGCAGCCCAACACCAAGTCAAACACAATAGACATACCTCCGGCTTTTGTTAAGATGGGGTCAGGAAAAACAAGCATTTTGTCACTGATTCTGCAAAATACCTATGCTTATTTCCATGAAAGTAGCCTAGCTATGCCTAACCTAAAGAGGCTTTACTTCATCTTATCCTGTCTAACCTGTTGGTATCACAGCAGCAGTAGTGAGGTAGCAATTCTTGCACAATTCATATTGCCACTTGCCATGCACTTAACCAACTTAACCTTACTTAGAGTAGCCCATATGTTGGACATCATCTCATCTCGTCTGTCAGCAACAGCAGTTGTAATAAAGCATGATAAAGCTAATTTTAGGCTGGTTTCAACTTGCATTTCTAGTCAGTTCATTTGTGTATGCTTGTTGACATCATAAAAAGTTGACCTTTGTCAAGGGCAATAATGGGTATACTCCACAAAGCGATCTCTCTTCTCCAAAAAAAACATAACTTTTAGATGACTATACCAGTATTGCTGCTTGTCTTTTCATCTGCAGCAAAGACATTTATTTAGGCCTGTTTATTCATATCTAATGACAAAGTTTGGAATGTTGGCTTCACATTTTAAATGGGATGGTCTGACTATTTGTTACATGGCAATATTTAGCTCATATCATAATTCCTATGCAGCTTAGAGTATCCCTGAATTAAAAGTATAGTGCATTTATACAGTACAGCCATTTGCCAGTCAGCAAACCATGACAACTGTAGAAAACATCTGGTTTAAGGCGGTCATGAGGGAACACTTTAAGTAATTTGGGGCAAATGATCACGAATATGGAACAAAACAAGCCCATTGCATGCCCTGTGACATCATAATTTGTCTTATGACAAAACTCGATGGAGTAAAACAGAAAATGGCTAACTCTGGTTACAAATCATGTGCTGAAAGCAGGTAAGGTAAGCAATTACTTGGTCCATAGGAGACTTGCTGGCTTCTTCCTGCTCCCCAAAGCAAAAAGTCAGTACCATTTGCATGGGCTGCTGGCAGAAAAAGTGATCGCACTCACCCCCCCCCCAAATATAAATATGAATCATGCCCACCAACCTACGAGATTAAAATGCGAAACAACTAGGAGGCGTGCATGATAAACATCTCCAGAGAGCAGAATTTCGCCATCAAACACCTCTGTACTACCTGCGTCAGGTCTGTCCGAAAGCTTGTATGGCAGCATTAGGATAACATTGTCAGGCAGCCTGGTGAGTAAGACAACCGAAAGGATTAGATTTATCATTATTGAGCACCCCCATGAACCAAGAAAGCTGTTAACCGAGGGTTTGACAGGTCAGAAATGGCGATAAAAATAAATTCCGTGCCTCAAATTGTCTCCTTCATTCCCTGTGAATTGTTCACTCTTGGGTACGTATCAAACATGTGTGGGCGGCTGGCGAATTAATCGAATTGATGTATGAAGTACGTACAAGTTTGCAGTTGGAGCATATTGATGAGAAATTGGTCAACATTTTAAGCAACAGATGGTACCTCTAAAGGCAATCAAAAAGAGAGGAAGAATAAAGTGGTATCACACTGGTGTGGTGCCAAGAAAAACGAATGTAGTTAAATAAATGTAAAGACTGATACTTTTCTGGCATCATTTGGTAATCAGCTGATTTGACCTAAAACCTGTTAACAGAAGTGCTCAAATAATGATATTCATCTTGAAAATTTAATTTAGAAGACAGTTCTTGAATTTTTCCCCTCTGCATTTCGGGAGTGATGCAATTTAGTGGCCACGCTTCCTCGGCAAAAAAGAAATACGCGGAGTAATGTTCTCTACCGGGCCTTGCTGGTATTTTCATCAGGCTCTGCTTTCGTGGTGTGGTGGTGAGACCAAAAGAATAAGGGATGCGTTAAAACCTTGACCATAAAAGCATTGGGCACACAGCTGCCGGTTGTGATGCATCTTGTAAACAAACCAAACTTAATGCGTGCTAGCGGCTAAAGTAGCTGGGATTCTTGGGTTTGAAGGTATCTGGCGCCCTTGCTCCGTGCATACATAGACATGATTCAGATATAAGTGAGGCAGGACATAGCCATACGTGTCAAGGCTCTGTGGAGTCTCGTTTATGCTTGGTGGTTTCAAGTGAGTTCGGTTTTGGATGACATCTGAAAACGTCAGAAAAGGAAATAAGGGTTTCGCATGCGCGATTAAACAGTATCAGGCAGCAGCGAAAAGTTCACATAAAATAAGGGGAAAAGGAGTGAAAAATTCTTCCTCATAATGTGTACGATACACTCAAAGTCGGCAATTCTAGGACACTGCTTTCTCCCAATGTCTGAATGGAGCTGAGGTAAACGATTAAGTATGATGCATATGAAAGTAAAGAAAGGCAATAAAAACATGCTACCGAAATAATAGAGTGGAAGCCAATAGAATACGCCCACGGGGAAATGTGATTGCAAAAGGACTTACAAACACACGGTTGTCTGGACTACATTGACGAGAAGTCCCACACGTCGACCTCATTTGTCCTATTGTCGGCCAAGTTGATGGAGTTCATGGTTCACCTGTCGTACCGTACGCCGCAGCTGTGACGTCACATGGCTCACCCGTCGTGCTGCCGGCAGAACACCACCAGGATTGCGATGGCCTGCAGCAGCAAGCCGTACTCGGAGCCGGCCTCGATCAGCTGCCGCAGGCTGGGTCGCTGCGTGGGCAGCAGCAGCATACCGAGCACGGCCAGGCCGAACACGACGGCCAGCGCTGCGGTCAGGCAGCGGCGCCAGCAGCGCGGCGGCCGCTGCAGTGGGCCCCAGCCGGCGACGGCCAGCGTCCGGCTGCTGAGCCAGGCGTGCAGGTGGCCAGGCTGGGCCATCGCCACAGACGGGCTGACGACAGCGGGCGAGCAGTGACGGCCGCCTGGCTGCCGCTCCCGCGCGCTGATGGCGGTGTAGTATGCAACACGCAGGGGCCTAATTTTCACCAAATCAGAAGTGCTCGAGAGCTAAGATAGAAATAATAAAAACCCATCGCTTGTCTCAATAGCGTCAAAAGTGGGTAAATTTTGAAACGGAGGCAACAAAGTTGGAAAACAATTTTGTTTTCCATTTTCCAAATTCCATTTGGCAGATAATGTGTACCCTTCACGAGGCTCTGAACAAATCCTTAAACGTAGAAAATTATCAACTTTTGGGATGCTGCTGAAACCCTAATGTTTTTTTTATAATCCACAGATATATAACTAGACTGCTACCTACATCGTTTGATATGATA